CGTAACATTTATGATTCAACATGCGATTAGGTTAGGAGATTCCCAAGACATTGTTTATATATGGGTTTCAGTTGATTTCATCAATTAGAAGTATCTTTATTTGTGTTATATTTTTGACTTCTATTAAGTGGCGGTGTTTTATTTTATTGTAAATAAGAGCGTGTTACACATTGCTATTTATTTTTAAAATGGAAAAATTTCTTTTGCATAAAACCAACAAGATGAATCCAGATAAGTACAACATATTATTAATTTTGGATTTCCGATTTACCAAAAAAATATGTTTAAAAAAGTATGTATTAGCAAACGTTAAATCCGGACCTGGCAAATTTGGCAACGCCTTGTTGTTTTGGCGCACTATCTCTTCTCGTTGGATAAGGTATATATATATATATATATATATATATATATATATATATATATATATATATATATATATATATATCTATATCTCACTTATCTTTACTATATATCTAACACATTTGATCAGTAGAATCTTTAAAAATGTTTGGTTTCAATATACAGGTCGATATTTTTAATGTTTTTTTTTTAGTGAATTTCCATAAATTTAGTTTTCTTTTTGATGATCTTTAGCCCAAATTGGTTGCCTGTAGTATTTACTCTATTGAACATCACCTGTAAATATGTGTTATTATCTCTTCTCTATCTCTTCGCACTATCTCTTCTCGTTGGATAAGGTATATATATATATATATATATATATATATATATATATATATATATATATATATATATACATATATATATATATATATATATATATATATATATATATATATATATATATATATATATATATCTGTATCTCACTTATCTTTACTATATATCTAACACATTTGATCAGTGGAATCTTTAAATATGTTTGGTTTCAATATACAGGTCGATATTTTTAATGTTTTTTTTTTAGTGAATTTCCATAAATTTAGTTTTCTTTTTGATGATCTTTAGCCCAAATTGGTTGCCTGTAGTATTTACTCTATTGAACATCACCTGTAAATATGTGTTATTATCAGCCAGTATAACAGTATCATCTACATATCGAAAATTACTTATTGATATGCTGATGCCTTCACAACAGTGCCTTAACAAAAAATGCAGCACTGTCTAACCCCTTTAAAAATGGTTGTTTTGACTCACCATATGTCCATACTTTATGTGGGCTGCTTGATTGTAATACAGATTTTTAATAATCTGGATGTACTTAAAGATGTAATAATTCTATGAGTTTAACATGTACGAGAGTGTGGAACACTTTTTAATAGCCGATAAAGCAAGTAGAAACATATTTTTGTTGATCCAGGCATTTCGAACTAAGACTTGCATTGCAAAGAGGGACTCTTGTGTTCCAAAACTGCATCTAAAGCTGAACTGTGTTTAACTCATGCTTTGCTTTAATTTTGTTTGTATTCTGGAATGGATATAGAATTGGACTTCTTGGAAACAGTCACAAATAGACTTCTTCAACCAGTACAGAATTTGACATATAATATCTTATTAAATAGTTCCAACATTACATTCAGGTTGTTCTCACTATTCTTCTTTGCCTACACTAACTTTGTTGTTCTGGTCTATTAACCTACCAAACTTCCTTTCCTTGTAAGTATAAGTAAACTCTTTGATTTTTTTTATGCATGTTAAAACTATTGTGTCTTTGTTATATCTCTTCTATCTCCCGACTTTTTTCTTGTAACCAGTTCTCTTTAGCCTCATTTTTCATTCTTCTGACAGTTCTATCTAGTTCTTTATATCAATTAGGATTATTCTTATTTTCTCTCCTGTCCATAATGTGTAATATTTCATCTGTGATCAACTCATCATTCTTCTTCCGTTCAGAGTAACCAATCACTTATTTCAGGCTGTTGTATATAGTATCTCTTAAGTTGATCCAGGCCCTTTCGATATCAGTGGTAGTGGCTGTTAGGGCAACATTACTATACTAATTACTATTACTTACAAAAAGCATTACTAATGCTTTTTGTAAGCTTGACTTTTGTATCGGGATTTTTAAATTGAACCACATCTAATCTATTGATATTCTGATTCTGAAATCCGCATTGAAATACTTGTTATCCAGAGATAACAGGTTGTTTTGGATATGGTCAACATGTTTATTTTAAAGCCGATTCGTTAAAAAGTATGGTTATCTTTATACTAGATCACTTATAATATAAAAATTACGTGTACACAAATATTCTGAATTATATACTCATAATTTTTATTGATTTGTTTCTCCTATTATGAAACTTCATAAGCAATTGTACTAGGATCGTTATGATAATCAATATTAAAAATATGTTACAGTATAATGCTAGCCTAAACTACAGTAATTGTAAGTTTATCACTGTAGATTAGAAGTTAAAAATATTATAAACAGTGCATGTTGATTCGCCGACAAATATGTATTACTAAGATATAATTTACCTTTTTTTCATTTTCAGCAGCGTATTTTGCCCAATCGATTTTTTCACTCATTTTGATCCACTAAATACTAAAAAACTTAATAACAAATAATAAAACACTTTTTTATTAAAATTTAATTTGAACTTTATCATAAAGCGAAACCTTAGCAATGTTGTCAATGTCAACAGTCAACACCAAGTCACCAAATGTCATCAGTCAGTCATAACTAAAAGAAGAATATCAGGATGAGGCTTTACAGTTACTTTTTCTTCAGATGCGATGTAAAACATTAACTGGTAATACATTGATAATATACAGAAATTCAATATAAAAAGTCCCTTATTAATGCCATTTTAACAATTGTTATAAAATAAAAATAAGTAAATATTATTTAATAAAAAAATTATATAATTAAATTATAAAATTAAAAATTTTATATATAATTATAGCGCGTTTATGTGGGTTAATGAAACTCTATTCTTGCTTTTTACTGAATTCTTTATATTTTTCATAATAACACCATACATTTAAGTTCTTTAACTTAAAACTTTTAATTTAAAAAATCTTAATTTTTTCTTTAAAAATTTTGTTGATAATTTTAATTTTAATAATTTTAGTAATTTTTTAGCTTTTCTGAATTTGCAGATAAAATTTTAACTTATTATTATAGAAATCCTGATTTTTCTTAGAAACAAAAACTGACGTTAAACATGGTTTCAGGCATGCTCACGATTGTGTTATAAGGGAGTCAAAATGATAATACTAAAAATGTTATAACAAATAAAAATATATTGAAAACGTTTAGTCTTAGGTAAAAAATTACTTAATATGAAACTTTTATTTTTCTGCCAACATAAGTATTTATTGTGTACTTTTAATGCATTGGATCCTTAATCGACTTTGGTAGAATTCTAGAGGTGTGATAAGATTTTTCTGATCTTCATGTACTAGCCAATACATGAAGATAAGAAATCCATCAAATGTTTGGACAGAATGGATCCAATAGGAGGTCATTGCAAGAGCTGAGCATTCTCGACAAGGGAAAATGACAAGCATAATCAGTCCTATGAAAAGGAATATAAAACACTGCAGTGTTTCGAGTTCTATGTATTCTATTTAAGTACACATTGGCTCCAAGTATCCCCATGATATGGGGACCAAATAATAGAGCAGTATTCAAGACCTCAGCATACCCGAGAGCAATGCAATAATTTGAATACAATAGGTGAGAGATCATGATTTACGATAAATAAAACCAAGATTACGAAATCCTGTTTCCTTAATTTTCAGAAAATGGTTTCTAAATGTCAATGCACAATCCAATAATACACACAAATATCTAATCTCAGTAACTGAATCCAAGAGTACATCATTAAGAACATATCTATTAGCTATTAGTTTATATATATGACCAAATGAAATACAAGAACATATAATTGGATTTAAGCTTAAACCATTTTCTTTTGACCATAAGCATATATTAAATACATCATCTTGCAAGAGATCTGTAACTGATTTATCAGGTATATAACGAAATAACTTAAGATCATCAGAATATCGTTCATAAACAAGTTAAAAAACAAGGGACCACAATGAGACCCTTGTGGGACAGCAAAACAGCAATGGAATTCTTTTGAAATATAATTGTTAATACGAACTTGCTGTACGTGCCATCAGAAAACTTTGAATCCAATTAACAATGGGGTCACCACAGCCAGACGCATGAAGTTTGTGGACCAAAAGATTATGATTAACCTGGTCAAAGGCCTTTGAGAAATCAGTGTAAATGCTGTCGACCTGAATTTTAATGCAATATCTAATAGCCCATAGCAACATTTATTTAAATTATATATATATATATATATATATATATATATATATATATATATATATTATATATATATATATATATATATATAAATATATATATATATATATATATATATATATAATATATATATATATATATATATATATATATATATATATATATATATATATATATATTTATATATATATATATATATATATATATATATATATATATATATATATATATATATATATATATATATATATATATATATATATTTATATATATATATATATATAATATATATATATATATATATATATATATATTTATATATATATATATATATATATATATATATATATATATATATATATGTATTAAAAAACTATGTCTAAATGTGTAATACGCATAAAATCCTAGAAAAGTGTATAGGTATTTTGGAAATTATTATTTAAGTATATATTTTTACGAAATGTTTATACGTATCTAATAATAGATCAAAAACATTAGTAATGATCACAGCACAGAGCACAGCATACTTCACTTGGCAGTAGTAATGATTAAGATGTTTTTCCAATTATTTAGCAAATAAACTAACAATGCATCACTATCTAAAAATAAAACATACAAAGAAATGAGTGTTGCATAACAACTGAAAGTAATAAAAATTACAAACAATAATCAATTTTATATTTAAATCAGTTTTTTCGTCACAAGTATAACAAAGGTTTTAGTCGGATTTTACTTTAAAAAATCACCATCACATATCAATCAATAGAAAAACCACGTAAACATCAATCTAGTTATCTAGTATATTCTAGAAAAGAAATTATTGATTGGCTGAAGTATTTTATGACGTCATTTGAAGTATAAAAGCTGTAATTTAGTTCGCCATTTTGTTATTTCAAATTTACACAGCAGCGTTTAATAAGTAAGTCAAGAAGTGAAGAAGTTAGTGTTCTAGAAATTAGAAATACAGATTAATTTTTTTCCTTTGTGTTATTGAAAGCTACAAATAAAATGTAAGTAATTTTTGTGTATCCAAAGTAATAATCTTTTGTTTTAAATAAAATCCTATACATTAAAATTAAAACAAAACTGACATTTTGCTGAATCATCTGCATGTAGGTACGTCAAAAAAACTTGATTTCCAAAATTATATGTAGGTATATAATAAATGTACCGGAATGTATGTTTATTTAATTTTATTAATCTTGAAATGAGGATTTCAATAACAGCTTTCCCAAAACTTGTAATCATTAACCAAAATCTAGGTCACTATTGAATTAATGTTCTAACTCAAATTTTCTTTGTTTCAGAATGCAGATCTTTGTAAAAACACTCACTGGTAAAACCATCACCCTCGAGGTTGAACCATCAGATACTATCGAGAATGTCAAAGCTAAAATTCAAGATAAGGAGGGGGATTCCACCAGATCAACAAAGATTAATTTTTGCTGGAAAGCAGTTGGAAGATGGCCGTACTCTCTCAGACTACAATATTCAAAAAGAATCAACCCTCCACTTGGTACTTCGTCTTAGAGGAGGTATGCAAATTTTTGTTAAAACTTTAACTGGAAAGACCATTACCCTCGAAGTAGAAGCTTCAGACACTATTGAAAATGTCAAAGCCAAAATTCAAGACAAAGAAGGTATTCCACCAGATCAACAAAGATTAATTTTTGCTGGAAAGCAGTTAGAAGATGGCCGTACTCTCTCAGACTACAATATTCAAAAAGAATCAACCCTCCACTTGGTACTTCGTCTTAGAGGAGGTATGCAAATTTTTGTTAAAACTTTAACTGGAAAAACCATTACCCTTGAAGTAGAACTTCAGATACTATTGAAAATGTCAAAGCCAAAATTCAAGACAAAGAAGGTATTCCACCAGATCAACAAAGATTAATTTTTGCTGGAAAGCAGTTAGAAGATGGCCGTACTCTCTCAGACTACAACATTCAAAAAGAATCAACTCTCCACTTGGTACTTCGTCTTAGAGGAGGTATGCAAATTTTTGTTAAAACTTTAACTGGAAAAACCATTACCCTTGAAGTAGAACCTTCAGATACTATTGAAAATGTCAAAGCCAAAATTCAAGACAAAGAAGGTATTCCACCAGATCAACAAAGATTAATTTTTGCTGGAAAGCAGTTGGAAGATGGCCGTACTCTCTCAGACTACAACATTCAAAAAGAATCAACTCTCCACTTGGTACTTCGTCTTAGAGGAGGTATGCAAATTTTTGTTAAAACTTTAACTGGAAAAACCATTACCCTTGAAGTAGAACCTTCAGATACTATTGAAAATGTCAAAGCCAAAATTCAAGACAAAGAAGGTATTCCACCAGATCAACAAAGATTAATTTTTGCTGGAAAGCAGTTGGAAGATGGCCGTACTCTCTCAGACTACAACATTCAAAAAGAATCAACTCTCCACTTGGTACTTCGTCTTAGAGGAGGTATGCAAATTTTTGTTAAAACTTTAACTGGAAAGACCATTACCCTCGAAGTAGAAGCTTCAGACACTATTGAAAATGTCAAAGCCAAAATTCAAGACAAAGAAGGTATTCCACCAGATCAACAAAGATTAATTTTTGCTGGAAAGCAGTTAGAAGATGGCCGTACTCTCTCAGACTACAATATTCAAAAAGAATCAACCCTCCACTTGGTACTTCGTCTTAGAGGAGGTATGCAAATTTTTGTTAAAACTTTAACTGGAAAAACCATTACCCTTGAAGTAGAACCTTCAGATACTATTGAAAATGTCAAAGCCAAAATTCAAGACAAAGAAGGTATTCCACCAGATCAACAAAGATTAATTTTTGCTGGAAAGCAGTTAGAAGATGGCCGTACTCTCTCAGACTACAACATTCAAAAAGAATCAACTCTCCACTTGGTACTTCGTCTTAGAGGAGGTATGCAAATTTTTGTTAAAACTTTAACTGGAAAAACCATTACCCTTGAAGTAGAACCTTCAGATACTATTGAAAATGTCAAAGCCAAAATTCAAGACAAAGAAGGTATTCCACCAGATCAACAAAGATTAATTTTTGCTGGAAAGCAGTTGGAAGATGGCCGTACTCTCTCAGACTACAACATTCAAAAAGAATCAACTCTCCACTTGGTACTTCGTCTTAGAGGAGGTATGCAAATTTTTGTTAAAACTTTAACTGGAAAAACCATTACCCTTGAAGTAGAACCTTCAGATACTATTGAAAATGTCAAAGCCAAAATTCAAGACAAAGAAGGTATTCCACCAGATCAACAAAGATTAATTTTTGCTGGAAAGCAGTTGGAAGATGGCCGTACTCTCTCAGACTACAACATTCAAAAAGAATCAACTCTCCACTTGGTACTTCGTCTTAGAGGAGGTATGCAAATTTTTGTTAAAACTTTAACTGGAAAGACCATTACCCTTGAAGTAGAAGCTTCAGGACACTATTGAAAATGTCAAAGCCAAAATTCAAGACAAAGAAGGTATTCCACCAGATCAACAAAGATTAATTTTGCTGGAAAGCAGTTGGAAGATGGCCGTACTCTCTCAGACTACAACATTCAAAAAGAATCAACTCTCCACTTGGTACTTCGTCTTAGAGGAGGTATGCAAATTTTTGTTAAAACTTTAACTGGAAAAACCATTACCCTTGAAGTAGAACCTTCAGATACTATTGAAAATGTCAAAGCCAAAATTCAAGACAAAGAAGGTATTCCACCAGATCAACAAAGATTAATTTTTGCTGGAAAGCAGTTGGAAGATGGCCGTACTCTCTCAGACTACAACATTCAAAAAGAATCAACTCTCCACTTGGTACTTCGCCTTAGAGGAGGTATGCAAATTTTTGTTAAAACTTTAACTGGAAAGACCATTACCCTTGAAGTAGAAGCTTCAGACACTATTGAAAATGTCAAAGCAAAATTCAAGACAAAGAAGGTATTCCACCAGATCAACAAAGATTAATTTTTGCTGGAAAGCAGTTAGAAGATGGCCGTACTCTCTCAGACTACAACATTCAAAAAGAGTCTACCCTTCATTTGGTACTTCGTTTAAGAGGAGGAAAATTATATTGGTGAAATTAAGCTGATTTTTATATTTTTAATAAATAAATTATAATCTATTGTAGGTACTTTTATTTCAAACTTATCACTTATACCTTATTGTTTATTAGAAATATTTTAATACCTATTCAATACTTAAAATTAATTGATAAAATCTTGCCATGATTTTTGTCATATATCTGTAAATTTCAAACATCTTAGAGTCCAACATTTGGAGATTTTGTTTTCTGTGAATGTCTTTTAACCCTTTTATTTTTCCACTTCTAGAATATTGTATTGCATTGTAGTGTTTTGATTTCCCCAGTAAAATTAGTACCTTTACTTGTGTACATTTCTTTCATGTTTTTATATAATTTGTAAATCTTATTTAAGTTATTATTTTTTATTTGAGTTATTTTAAAACTAATATATATATATATAATATATATATATATATATATATATATAATATATATATATATATATATATATATAATATATATATATATATATATATATATAATATATATATATATATATATATATATATTATATATATATATATATATATATATATATATTTTGTTAGACATCAGTTTGAAAGTTTGTTTTTTGTAGTTACATCGAACTATTTAAACAACAATAGTTCCTCCTACTACCTCTTTCTGTTCGTGAGATGTGACTGAATTCAAACCTGGGAAGACGACTGTTTTTTGTCAAACATGTCTTATTTTTACTTTTTAAACTTTGTAACATGTTCTTTAATTATTAAGTATTTTAAAGTTTTTAAAATTTTTAATGCCTTCAATAATTCAGATCACATTATGTTATTTAACGTTGTGTTTTATATGCTATGAATCTTACTTTCTGGTAAGTTTTTTATAACTTTTATATTACATCAGCCTAATGTTATAACACAGTAATTTTCATTTTAGACCTTGATAAAGGTGGCAAATAACCACTGAAAGCTCGGATTTCAGAATAAATAGTACGCCTTAGCAAAGCTCTATTTTTTATTGACTACAACACCCAAAAAGAAAAAAGTATTTACATATATATATATATATATATATATATATATGATATATATATATATATATATATATATATATATATATATATATATATATATATTCACTTCTAAATATCCACATTAGGTGCTGTTTGAGAATTCTGTAATATTCTACTATGTATACACAGTTGCCCTGTGTTATCATTTAGTTTATTTTTCCATATGTACAGTTCTTGTACAATTTTAAGGCTGTAGTCATTTGTTAAATTGGCTGCCAACTAATTCACCATCTGTTAGAGGGACTTCCTGTTGGTCTGGTGTCTGTTAGATCTCATGCTATACTAGCTGGTCTCTTAGTATCCATTCACGTAACTTAGTTCCCTTCCTGTCTTCCCCATTATACAATATGTATTTTACATAGATCTCTGATTTGGTATTTTGTCTCTTAATGTTTTCCAAATAATTGATCTCAAGGCCATTTTTGACACTATTCTTGTCTGATTTTAAGACTAGTTATATTTGTGTCACTGATTGTCAGCTATCCCGCCTTCTTTTAAAAGGTCTTCTCGTTGATCTTAAATATGTTACTATTCTGGCTCGTCTATCCATTTTGTAACATGCTGGTTCCATTGTACAATTATTTTCCCCTGTATTTCATAGATATCTGTTACTTGGTATTTAGTCCATTAATGTTTTCCCAGCAGTTAACATTAATGATTTCTATATACATACTCTCCATCTAATCTTATATCCCCATGCTTTCAGATGACATGCTCATATAGAGGATGTATCATGAAATCCACTTTTATCTTCTATGCAACATATTTGTCGGACCATCAAATGATACAAGAATCAATAATTTTGTCAATTTAGGTCTTTTCGTGTATTTATATTTTCTCGATCCAGTAATCTAGGTAGCAATACATGAGCCCCCGCGTCGTATCCACCATATGATTGTCCAACTTTGAAAAAATATTCGTTGTATTCCTCAGCGATCTCAGTTGTAACGGTACCTAATACTTTGGTTATTTGCAGTCAGTATTTCTTTGATATTTTGAGTATTAGTATTTTCACTATTCTCCACAGGAATGCTTAAAATCTTAGAATTTATGTTATTTCTTCTTTTTTTGTACGGTTGTTAGCTATTTTGATATTCTAGTGAGAGGCTACAGTTAAATAGTAGTAGGGGAGAGGCGTGTACCTTGGGCCAGCTTGTACCATTAGCCACCCCATTTTTTTTTAATTTGGTGCGCGAACTCTCTCTCTCTCTCTGTTTCTTATGTCAAGTCAAGCTCTTCTCTTACAATCGTCATGGTCATTCTGTGATTAGTTCACCTTAGTTCATACATAAATAATATAATGATTAGTTGTTGAACGTCACCAGAAATCATTTGCAGCTATCTTAAAAATATAGTGAATTATTTTGTGAAAAGTAAAATATTTATTCGCTCCGTGCGTGACTGACGCGACACCTACCGCCTTCATCTGACAATTTGGGAATCCCAATTTTCAGGTTAAACATATGACATATGTTTGACATTGTTAAATACATGCGAAATTGACAATTATTAATAAATTACTTTTTAAACTATATTTTAAAGTTTATGTACAAAATAAATGTAGTATTAAAAACTGGGTTTCTCAAAAATTCATCATAATGTACCTTTTCAACTCCAAACGGAAAAGAAAGGGAAAAATCTAGTACTGGCAAATGAAGTTTTTCACACAAAAGAGCATATAATTAAAAACAATAATAGTAAAAGTTATGATATAAAAGCTAAAGTCATCTGCAGTTAGCTTGAAGCCTTATGAAATATCATTCAAGGTAAATTATTTAAATTTTTTCTATTTCAATTGCATAAAAATGAAATTATGTGATATTTACTTTTTCATATTAATAGCACGAATTCATCTTTTTCTTTTTTCTAATTTATATGTAATCTTTGGGAACCTATGAAAACTACAATCACCATTTTTGCTATTATTAGCACAATTAAATACGCAACATGTATTTGCACACATTTTTGATAAAATTCATGCGTAAAAATATTTTGTCCAATATTCCAATTTTGTCATATTTCGCCACTACGCACGCTGGCATCGTTTCAATATACTCCTTTCATCGTCACGCACGGAGCGAATAGGATAGGTAATTTTCTTTTTTAATTTTTTGTGTTAACAGATATGGTAAATTAAATCACAGGGTGTGTATGCTTATTCTAACAGGTACTTAAACAACATAGTGAGAAATGTAACAAAACAGTTTTTTAGTTTAACTTCATATTCGTTTTCTTTTCGGCCGAATCTTGTACCTTGGACCACTATCACGTCTTGTACGTTGGGCCGCGGCCCAAGGTACAATCTCTTGTAGGTGGATAAATAAAAAGAGGTAAAAACAGTTCTTTTTTCTTTACAGATGCCTAGAAACAAAACCGACGTAAAAAGAGCTCCGACAGATCATGAAAACCATTAAAAGCATACAATGCACTTCAAGAAAAGCAAATATCGATCCGATTAGCAGCAAAGGAATTTCATGTGTCACGAACGGCACTTCAAAGATTTTTGGTCCGTGATCCCAACAATTTCCTCTCTTATTTCTTTCTTGCGCAGTTCGAAAAGTATTTTCCACTGATGAGGACAACGACTTATGTCAGTATTTAACTCAAGCTAGCACCGTCCTGGAATAATAATTATCGTGCTGGAAAATAGTGGTTCCTTGACTTTATGAGTCGCCATAAGCAACTTAGTTAAAGAAAGCAACAAGCCACTAGCCTATCTCGCGGAAACAGCTTCAACAAACACAATGTCTCATTATTTTTAGTCAAAGTCACGAATAAGTATACTTTCACACCCAGTAAAATATACAATATTGATGAGAGTAATAACACTAATGTTCACGTTCCTGGAAAAATTGTAGTTTGCAAGGGTATTAAACAAGTTGGTTCCGCTACAAGTGGAGAAAGGGGGTACTAATGTAATATTTATCGCTGCTATAAGTGCTTCAGGGAATGCTCCCACGTCCCCCCTATGTACATATTTCCCAGAGTGAATTTTAAGCCCCATATGCTGAAAGGTGCACCTGCTGATTCGGTGGGAACGGCTCATCCTAGTGGTTGGTCCAATGGAGTCATATTCTTAGAATATTTAAGGCATTTTATACATATCACAAAGCCTTCCGTCGATGATAAAATATTAGTAATATTAGACAATCATGAAAGTCATATTACCCCCAAAATCATCAACTTAGCTAAAGAACATGGGATCGTAATATTGACCATTCCACCTCATACGAGCCATAAGCTCAAACCCCTCGATCGCAGTGTTTTTGGCCCATATAAAACTTGTTATACAACGCTTGCACGGAATGGATGATAAGAAACCCAGAAAAACTAATATATATTTACGATGTCGCTGAAATTTCTGGTCAGGCATAACAACTAATATAGCAAAATATGAAGAAAACAGCTGTGAAAAAAAAAAGTTATGGACACCCAACCGAGAAAGCATAATTTAACACAATAAAATTAAAAAGACTAAATCAGTATTTCCCCAATCGAAGGATCTGAACAATTCATCATCTTCTGACAACGACGACGTTGAAAGCATCCCTTACGATGATAGTTCGGATCCGTCTTCTGAGCATGAGTCAGACATAGATTGGGAAGGACATATGTCTAAAAATAACAAACCAGACACACGAACAGAGTTTACACTGGAAATTGGTAGATTCTACCTAACAAAGCTTATTGGAAAGAGGATCGTTGAATTTTATGTTGCTAAAATAACTCCAACAATAATGTGTTAGGTTATTATTAATTCTAATTTATTGTTTTTATTATTTATAAAAGGTTCTATATTTATAACACAAACTTAATTTACTTAAAGTTTATTTACAATAATTTATCTTACAATTTATTATTACGACCGTCACATTTTACTACCCGTTCGCGATTTTCTTTTCTAACTGGATTCTCCATAATAAAAATCCTGTTATTTATATGAAATGACATCAGCATAGGATCTATCGTGAAGCAGACGGAAGTTGACCTGAATAGTCTCGAACTGGTT